CTAAACGAGGTTTCACTTCAAGTTGAAACTTTTCCTGGAAGTTTGCCTTACCATAAGCTTTCGTTGGAGCCCTGTCCCGTTGACCAACTTGGGTATAATAGTCTACTTATGCACCGGACTAATAGTCCAATATCCTTGATTTTAGCACATGAAACTGGAAAATTGGCAACGCTGTACAGCCTAAACCAGGGGTCACTTCAAGTTGAAACTTTGCATGGAAGTTTGCCTTACCATAGGCTTTCATTTGAGCGCTGTCCGGTTGACCAACTCGGGTATAAAAAAAGGGGCTAAAAAACACCACTTTTTGGCGAGGCTCTTTAAAATGTAGTGTCAAAAAAAGCCCCTGGTCAAAGGGGGTGCATCAAATCCAGGATGGCAGCCAATTTTGAACGGCGCAGGAGGGTAACTTTTAAAGTTTGATTCATGTAATACACTCTAAATTGAACCACGATTTCTGGATAATATTGGTCTAGAAGTTTGATGAGAGGTTTACAATTTATTTGTTTTTTATAAGACTTTATCTACGACCCGATAAATGACACCTCTGGTCAGGAGGCGTAAAACTGACAATCCAGGCCGAATCCGTGGGTTACTAGGGTTTAAGATGAGGCAATGATTTTGGTGAATGTAGATAATTTTGGTCGTAAATTTTAGATTTAAAGCAGATAATGCCCTCTAATTGTGCACGATCACTCGATTAAGGGATCAGTAGGTATTTGACTTCTTAATTTAAATGACGGAACAGAAAATTTTAAAGTACGATAGCAAAAAATCTTTGAAAGTGATCTAGCAGTTTTATTACATAGATGTTCGCAATTAATTTTACTCCTCAGTGAGACTGAAATTGAGGATGGTGACTGTCTCCATATGAGGAACCAATAAAACGACACTACAAATAGTTGTACAATTCGAAAAGAAACTGCTGGATACGCGATATTTACAGCGGAGTTACCTTTTACTAAAACAACAATAATGAAAAAATAAAAACATTGATGATTCATACCACCGGATGATGTTCCTCAGTATATTTTTTCAAAAATGGTGCTGTCAACTTTTGATTTTAGAGATTTGTTTATTTATTTATTTATTTATTTTTTTATTTCGCCATGATTCCCACGAGACCTGATTTGCTTTATTCACATTTCGAATAAAAAGATTCTTGGTTCTCAGATGGAATGAAAGGATTTTAAATGCGGATATTACTTACACCGAAATCGGTCCCTTACTGTCGAAGATGTAATAAAAGCATATTTGGACTGCATTTTGCAATTTGGACCTATAAATTCTGGCTCATCTGAAAAAACACATATGTGCATAGGAAAACTAATGGCTCATACGTTGTTTTTAAACTGGGCTGGAATTTATAGGTCCAAATTGCAGAATGTAGTCCATTTTGAAATATGGCGTATTAATGCTAAAAGGAACTATGTTGCACGCAAACACCGTTCAGATAATTCCTTTCAGCGTTATACCTACACCTCCGGTTACCACTACTGCCTTTTACAGGCAGTCATCGTGGATTTGAGACGCCCTGTCTGACCATTCATTATCCACTTAATTTTTTACCTCACATTTTACCAAAAGTGGTCTATCTTCGCCTGCGTTGGCATTGCATTTTTTTTCAAATTAGACCTCGTATGACAGAAAAGGCCGAGACCCATCAGCTGGTGTCAAATTTAACAAGGCAATTCAATTTTTTACGAGAGAACTTTAGTGCGGATTCCTTTGCAAATATTCAGGAATTTGCTTTGTACGATGGAAAAAATTCACTGAAATTTGCACGTAAATCCGCAGAACCATTTCCATCTAAAAAATGCAATTGCTCGATTAAATTTGGCAATAGCTGATGTGGCTTGGTTCCTTTCTGTTTAACGCGGTCCATTTGATGTCTGGTTCTTTTTTAAGGATGTATTTAAGTACCAATATCTGAAGTTCGTGATTCGTATATACCGGCCTAATATACAACCCAGGGGGCACGTGTTTTAGCAAGCCTCGAGTAAATTAGACCCGGTTTGGGAATCTTAGGGATAACTTAAAAAATGTAATGTAGAGTGGTGTAGGGTGATACTAGGGTAAAACCTAAAGGGCCCATTGGGTAAGAAATCATATGAGGGGCTTGGACGACAAGGCGCATAAGTGCAGTTTTTTTTAAAAAAAATTGAGATATTAAGAATCTAGACTAAAACTAGTTTGAGAGTTTATTCTGTGGAAAATTCAAAAATAAACTCCAACTTTAAAGCATCGAAATGGCCCTTTAAACTTCCTTCACGCTATACGACTCCATGTAATTTTGAAACTTTAAACATGTATTTATCTAAATAGCAAAAACTGCACTTATGCGCCTCGTCCTCCAAACCCCTCACATGCTCCAGGCGAAAGAGCGCAACTTTATTTCAACATTGCAAAATTTCCATCGGCAAGTTGTTTATAAGACAATTTTAGGGCGTACCTAGCTATGAATTTCACTAATTATTCTTCAGACGCAAAAATCAGCAAAATTTTGGTCAGAAATTTTAATCATAATCCCCTATTAATAGTTTGAACCAATTTGCAATATGGAAATGGTGTTACGTTCCTTTGTTGGAGAATTGACTAAATGTGGTTTTCGATGAATGTTCATTTTCTGTACCTCCAATGAAATATTTCTTTGTATCCTAATGAGATGTACAGAGCTAAAAATAAATCAACCATTAAAAATTATAGAAGTGAGGTAGGAAAAGAATTATACATATAGAGAGAGAAAAAAAACCCGTGTTTTTTTGGTTTTAGTCTATTTTATCACACTTTCCATTGTCTTTACAATATAGTATAAAAATTATGTATTTTAATATCACAATTCAAGAAGTAAATGCAAAAGGTTGAACAAAAAATGCGAGAGTCATTTAAAAATAAAGTTCCTTTAATTTTCTCTCCCGTCTGCAGAACTTGTAAGGTCGAATTTGACAAATTGCTTCATTTGAAATTGCATGCATTCAAGAACTCAGCCAGGTGTAGAAGTTAGCAAACGGGCTATAAACGCACTTCAAAGTATTTTTGGTTCCTATGGCCGATGACCCGAGACTTCATACACCTTGAGCTCACATAATTTTTTCGACGAAAGAATTCTGTAAACTGCTTTTTGTTTGAACGTTGAATTAATTAAAATTAAAATGTACATTACTTCGTCCACGTGTCTTTATTGGAGGAGGGAAAACAAAGGAACGAAGTTAAAGAATAACTCTCGGGAATAAACTGTAAAAAATCATGAAGCCACTTCCCAAACGAACACAATTGTGACAGAATCAGTGTATGCTGAGTCAAGTTTTATTGAAGCCGTAAAGATCTAACACATTACTTTGGCCGCTAATAGCCTTAAGTCTCAGATGTCAAGTTGAATCAAACATTTTAACGTCATAAGAGATTAAAACATTTTCACCTGAGACAGTTCATCCGTCTAGGTAAACTTCTTGCTAAAGAGGCGTCATTTCAATTTTAATCTTTGCTAAAACATCAGTTAAAAAATTAGGAGGTTATGAAAGTTTGAAACTAGATGTATCTTGTCTTTTCAATGATGACACACCCAACTGATTATTGCACTGAGAAGTCGTCATTGAAGAGGATGAGCAAGAGAGAGGATTTAAATGAATACGTAAAATTGCCTAAAGAATTCAGCAATACATATCGAAAGTATACATACGGCCCAAGAAGTACAAATTTGGTACACATATATTTAGAGAGCTATTAGTGTCCTCGTCTCACTCCAACTAACTCACTCCAATGAGGTCAGAGTATTAATCTGCCGAACTACAGAAAAACACCGTATGAATATTTAGACGTTGCCACATTTTCTCTGATAAAATACAACCGTACAGTGCGAGAAAAATACATTAAAAATGGGTATGACAGGGCGGAATGAAAAAAAATAGTGTATTTCCTTCGGAAAATACACTCAAAATAAACAGAACCAGGACGCATGGGGCTAATTGCATGCACGCTCTGAACTCCAAAAAAACAAACGTTATAAAAAATTAAAACACAAAATTGAGCTTGAAAGTGGCGGATCCAACAAATTGGCAACATTCTTTCCTCCATTTAAACATATGGAATTGTATCGATTCTTGAAGGAGCCAGGTGCTCCGACAAGAATCGATTATTTAACACAAGTTTAAATGGAGAAAATCCGGAGTCGCCAAATTGGTGGATCCGCCTCTATGCTTGAAACTGACCGGGATAGGAATCAAAGCAAGTCAGCTATCTCGGTCAGTTGTATGCTCTTTTCCTTGTTTTATTTTTTTAAGTTTTAGCTTTTTCCCAGTTAAAAATGGGCATGTATTTTGCCTTGTTATAAGTCCTAGCTGCGTTCATTATATCTATGTAGCCTTATCATAGCCATTTTTTGGGTGTATTGCACACTATTGCGTTGTTTTTTTTTATCATTTTCTGTACAGTGTATCCATTTCTTCTTTGACTATTCAAACCATTAATCGCAAGACTATATGTACCTGAAACTTCGAAGGGATTTTTTTTAAAAATAAAAAATCACTCATTCTCGGAAGAATAAATTTTTAAACGGAGAAAACTTGGGGAGATTCAAATGCTCATATGGCGTTCTTTCTCAATACCCAGCGCACAATGGACCAAGTCAATAGGAGGTCGGACAAAATTTGGGAACTTTAAACGCTTATAACTCCGTTTATACAAAACGTTGAGGTTCTGAAAGTGGTTCCATTGGTTTCCTCGTTAAATTTTCCTCTGAAGGCGCTCCTTAAAATTTAAAATGTGACGAATTAAACATCAAAATTTGCAGTTTTGGTCAAATGTTCCGTGTCCAATCTCTCTAGTTGACTCGATCCACCGTGCGGCGGTGCTAGGAAGGGCTATTTCACAGCATGATGGCAGCATCGATTACAAATGATGAACGTATACAAAATGAAGGATGAGCATGAAGAGTATGGCAGTCATTGATTCGGCAGATTTCGAGGAGGCGTTGGGGTCGCTTTTTGACTTATTCTTACGGCCCTCAGAGGCAAGTCTGTCCTTGGTTGGGTTCTTCGGGTTGGGGGGACAACCCATCCAAAACTGAGCTGATGGCCGCGGCTGCTCGTTCTCTACGCGCATCCGCAAATCGTCGAATTTCCAGAATCCTTTCCCTTTGAAAAAGTACGTGCGACCTGGTAAACGAGCAAAGAAAATCGGACTTAATCGACTGGACGTATTTGTGGTAAAAAGAACTATGCACAAAATAATGAAATCAAAAGATTAACTAAGAGGCAGTCAAACCCTACTCTCTGAGCTTAAAATTGGACGTATTTCTGCCTGACGGAACTATGTGCATTATGACGTGAGCCCTTTTATGCATAAATTCATAGGGGTCTCAGGGCTCATATCTTAATGCACATAGTTCCATTAGGCAGAAACACGTCCAATTTGCGATTAAGTACTGCGCATCCCCAAAACTGCGTCTGCGGGCTCTTTTTATTTTAAGTTGGCAGCAAATCAGATTCGCTTAGAGAGAGACATAAGAAAATTCTACAGAAAATAAACCAACCATACAATATAATTCAAAAACTGTTTCTATCGGTGGTTTCGGTTGTTTTCTTGTTACTTCCTTAAGTTGCAAAAACAAAAGTTTTAACACTATTGAGATCATCCGTAAGAAAGATCTGTATCAGTTTATGAGATTTTTTTATTCACTTAAGTTTAGCGGTCTAACAGGGCCGGATTTAGGGGGTGGCCACATGGGCCGCGGCCCATGGCGGCAAATTTAGGGGGAGGCAAATTTTGCAATTTTTTTGAATGTAGCTATAAAGCAAAATCGGAATTCGAAAAAAAATTACAAACGAGAAAAGGTGACATAATCTCTCATTTCCTGAGAGTATATTTCTAATTTTGTCGTCTTTCTGTGATACAATAGGCAGCACCTTTCATCAGTCCATTTAAGACTAAGAGAGAAACCGAACACGGAATTTGGTCTGGAACGGCGCGGCGCAGAGAGCAATGATGACGAGGACTTTAGATGAAAAGGAGTAGCCCTCGATGCGGCGGTCGGCATGTAACACATATTAGCGCCTACAAGACTGCGTGAATACTTAACGCATTGCGCCTAACACAGTGCGGTCAGCACGGAGCGTCGGTGGAAGTTAAAATTATTAAACCACATGTATATTTGTTCTTTCATAACTTTAATTAACAGTCATTGCGTTAAAGACAGTGCAGTCGCTGCGGTCAGCAGCGGGCAGCCGGGCAGCGTGAAACGCATAGCGCCTACAAGACTGCATGAATACTTCATGCATTGCGTCAAACACAGTGCGGTCAGCAGCGCGCAGCGGTCGGCGTGAAACGCATAGCGCCTACAAGACTGCGTGAATACTTAACGCATTGCGCCTAACACAGTGCGGTCAGCACGGAGCGTCGGTGGAAGTTAAAATTATTAAACCACATGTATATTTGTTCTTTCATAACTTTTTCGTTCAGTTCACATAGATGGAAGGCCTTGTCCACACAGAGATAGGTTTACGGAACTTAACTTTCGCGCCAAGTTCCGTGAACTTTTGCTAGTATAGTGTTGACAGGGCTCTCGAAAAAATGTGTCCAACACGAGTAAACGCGTCTTATGAACCCCTCCCCTTCCGGCACGTTCACTTGATTGTTTTTATTGATGTTTCAAAACTTATGAGAAGGGGGCGGCAAAATACAGGCGGCCCATGGGCGGTAAGTAAATAAATCAACCCAAAATTAAAAAACCCAACCAAAAAGGAAATCCAAAACTAACAGAAAACACAAAATGTGCAGAACAAGAGAAAATATAAGGAACCAAACCTAAAATATTAATAATCAAAATAAATAAAAATAAAGAGATAAATATAAAAACTCTGACTTTTATAACTCTGACTTTTTTAACTCTGACTTTTTTACTCTGCGGTCTAATTGAAAATGCCTCTGATATGGAGTACACAAATTTCGAGTTGAGGGATAAGGCATTCCTGATGTCTTCAACGTGATTTTTGTGCGATTTTAATAAAAACAATTCTACGGGATTGACTTTATTTCTTGTTTAACAGACTTATCTACATACATTTGGCCAATTTCTAGGCTCGGTGTTATAATGGTATTGATTTTCCTTCTCTCCCCTTTAATTCAACCCTTAGAAACAAATTAAATGTTCCAAGTCTTGAATATGAAGACAAGAAGTAGGGTTGATCATCTTAACTGATTCTATTTCATGCTCATATTTTCTACTTACTGTCATTCCACTGAAATACAGTGTCGATGTAGTAGCCGACTCCGCGCCAAATAGACATGTCTCGTGGGTAGTCCAGTTCGACGCGTCCCAATTCTTCATCAAATCTGCCGAACAGTCATTTTATTAATAATTTGTTTCAGGAAAGTACTAGGCAGCTTCATAAAGATAAATAATATAAATTGGAAAGTAAGAAACAAAATTGTGGAAACTTATGTTGGCATCGAATCAAGAGATCAAATCAAGGTGCATAGTAAATCTAATGAACCCACCGACAGATTCCAAATTTAATCATCATAATATCTGTTTTCTTTATGGAGGCACTTTGGGCACGGTGGAAAATTGATCATTTAAACACAAAAATCAGAGAGCGATCCCATTGGTTGAAATGGGTGATTGTTATAGCCTAAGGGCTTATTAAGGGATTACAATATAGGGTCTCTCGTGGGTTGCCTTTAGTTATACTGGAAAAAAAACACATTGGATCTAGAGTCCAGACTCTTAAAAAATCGACAAGAAAAAATACTCCTGACTCAATCAGATTTAAGCTTAAATCAAGAACCCAGCCTCTTAATTTGAGCGGATTTCCTTTTGATTTAAGCTTAAATCTGATTGAATCAAGAGTCCTTTTTCTTGTCAATTTTTCAAGAGTCTGGACTCTAGATACAATGTGTTTTTTTTCCAGTGAAGTTATTATTACCTACCTCCTTTGTCCATTGTAACCACCACCATCGTCCCGCCTACACCAACACTACCAACAGGAGCCCTCCATATCCCTTCAGTCTTCTTTGTCTGTAGCTTTGTCTACAAATTTCAACAATTGGCCCGCTGGGAATATGTTCAAAATCAGAATCAGGAGATAGTGATAAAAATGTATTTGACAAAATTATTTTTACACGGGAACAGAGAGTGTCACTTACTTCCAATACATCGTTTCACTAAAAAAGTAGGTTTTGCTGTTGTAACCCCAAATAAATGCTGCGTCGACCTTCTCCAGGGTTGGTGGAAGGCCTAGTTCTGTCAGAGGTTTGGGGTATCCATGCATCAAAACATTCGCGTCAAACACGTAGAAGTATTTCCCTGTTAAACACAAAAGGGAGTTTCGAATAATTTACATAAAACTAATACTGAGAATAACACAAATAAGATAGATTACCAGGATTGTAAGCATTTAGCATCAACTTTCTGACAAACCTGTGGCTGGAAAATGACCTGTTGGGATTTTTCTTGGAGACGTGGAATTAGATTTCATGATTTATTTTACGGATGCTTGGTCTAAATTATTTACGTACTACCTTAGTGAAGGAAGCGGCCGGTATGTTAAACTTCCTTTGTTAAATGCACGTAAGGGAGATGTTGCATGTGTGAGGAATTTGCGATTTGACTGTTGATTCTTACGTAAAAGTTCTCGGGAAACACGATGGTGCCACTGGTTTTCTCTAAAATCAACTCCCAAGCTCAAAAAAAGCCCTCAAGTTGAGGCCAAAATGGAGGGGATATCCCACCCTACCCTGAGAGTCCACCTCTACATTAAAACAAACTCTCCATGCAAAGATAGGGAGCAAATACATTAGCAGGGTTGCCGTGTTTTCAGTTTTGGAGTCCCCAAATAAAGTGGCAGCCCTGTCAATGTATTTGCTCCCTATCTTTGCATGGATAGTTTGTCTTGATGTAGACGTGGACTCTCAGGGTAGGGTGGGATATTCCCTCCATTTTGGCCTCAACTTGAGAGCTTTTTTTGAGCTTGAGAGTTGATTTCAGAGAAAACCAGTGGCATCATCGTGTTCCTCGCGAACTTTTACAAAAGAATCAACAGTCAAATCGCAAATTCCTCACACATGCAACATCTCCATTTACGCTCAAAATAGAGAATATGGCAGTCTCATCACTTACAATCGTCGTTCCTCTGACGTAAGGGTGTATCTTGATTTCCACTTGAGCCCTGTTGCTTATATGGTACCATACTTTCCGGGGCTCATTTGAAAAAGGAGATACGCCCTTACGTCGGAGGAGCGATGCGATAGCGGACTTGATAAGGGATCGAATAATATGACATTTCATGTATTGGTTCAGTCAAAGAATAGAGCTGGGTGACGGTTTAATATTCGGATAGATAACTATCCCTGCTTTCCGGTATGCGTGAAGCTTGATGCCTATCCATCAAAATCGAAGACAACATTCACTAACAGCATACACGGTTGAGTTGAATCATGAAGCGGAGTATATGTGTATTATCTGAATAGATAACTGTTCGCGCTCCGCAGTTGCGTTGTTGCCTATCCGGGTATATTGAAGGCAAACTTCTCATGGGCAGTATTCTCTCATGTTACCTACAGTGTTTTCAGTTCTATGTATTAGATGAGGTTATAGGACATTTCGTCAACGATTTTTTGTCCGCGCACCTGTTTTTTCCAGTAATTTACGTCCACGCGTCTTTTCAACACGGGAATTTTAGTCCACGTGCCAGTTAAGACCCAAAGTTAATTGGCCCACATGTAAATACAAACGACAATTGCTCACGACGTTTTTGGATGAAAATTCATAATGTCTTGGAAGAATGAGGGTTTGCATGTTTTTTTGTTTTGTCTGTTTGGTAAAAAGGGAGAATAATATATAGTTGAGAGTTTTGGTAAAAATGGGGGAGCGTCAATTCCATGAGACAAAATTCACTAAAACTCTCTACACCTCTTTGGTGTAACAGGACTTAATTATCTTTCAAGAAATTCCCACCTTGTTAAACCTGAGCCGGATAAACCTCTATATTTGCCTCAGCAAAAGGCTCTTAAACTTTTCCTGTGTACGATAAGTATCTTGCTTTATTTTGCGAGGAAAGATCTGTACTTTTAAAGGATGCCTGTCATTCTTGATACGTTCAATTTCGTATAATACTGTGCAACACCGCTGTTGTGAAATAGTTGCTTCAGGCGCCGCCGCACGGCGAGCAACGCGCATCGGCGCCTACAAACCTGAGTGGATACTTCAAGCATTGTGCAATGCGTGAAGTATCCACTTAGGTTTGTAGGCGCCAGTGAGCCTCTCGCGCTGGCAGCGCGATATAAGAAAGAATTGAAGGCTATAAGAAATTGTGTAGAAATTCGTGTGCTTTGGAACTCATTAAGTTTGATACGGAACTACCTTAATATTTACAAAACACATTATATTTTCCTTTAAAACATGTTTTTTTTTTCATCAATTAAAATGAGAATAGTCCATACAGAGTGAGCAAACATTTGAAAATCATGAGTTGAAAAACGCTGATTCCGCGAGATTAAATATTAGAGCCTAACACAAAGCGGAGCGGCGACGCACTGGTGCCTACAAACCTAAGTGGATACTTCAAGCATTGTGCAATGCGTGAAGTATCCACTTAGGTTTCCACTCACAAAGTCAGGGTTTTTTAACTCATGATTTTGAAATGTTTTGCACACTCTGCATTGATTATTCTCATTAAATTTGATGGGAAAAAAATATGTATCAATTTATCAATGGAGAATAATAACATAAAGTGTGTTTTTTTAAATATTGGTGGTTCCGTGTCAAATTTAATGATTTCCAAAGCACTTTAATTTTTCTTTTACATTTTGTGCTTTTATCGTGCTGCAGCGAGGTGTACGCGCAACCAAACGCTCAAAATTTGACGTATTTGACTCTAAAAGATCGATGTACAAATGGGTTAAAACTAAAGATTGCGTGCTTCTTGGTTTTTTTTTGCTCTTTTATTCATTTTTGCAGTTTCTGACGGCACAACTGCGGCTCATTGAGATTAATGTCGCTTGGAAAAGGTTTTACAAATATTTGCCACGTTTTCAAAATATAAATGTTTTCAAAATAAAGTAATAATTTCGCAAAGAAAAAATTAAAAAATAAAAAAAGGTACCTGGTGTTCCTCTAGGGAAATTTCCCAAAAAAGAAAACAATGAAACCATTCTGAAACTTTTTGTTTTATGTTTTAGAAAATATAAGATTTCAAAGTTTCCAGAGCCTGTCTTACCTCTCCCACTGACTCGATCAAGTGTGTGACGCTCAGTATAATGAAAATTTCGCAATCCCGGAAAGAACAACCGGTCTCCTGAATTTCTGCTACAGGGAAATTGTTTATGATTTCAGAATCGGCAAAATAGGTACCAACAACCGGGCCGTTTTGATTTATATATCATCCATCACGCATCAATCAAATCTCTCTGGATAATGGAGTCACTGAGAAAGGTGAAATACGGCGATGAGCTCATCGAGGTAAAAGACTTCACCTCAAAGGTGGAAAGGAAATTAGCAAGGGATGCATGCCGTTGGCGTTAGAGAATTAGTGAGTGATTGATCATAATGTTTTCTTACCGATGAAAAATACGATTTTTTTGTCAAGTCTCTCATACACAGCGTCGATGTGGGTGAAGTTAGGAGGAAGGTTCTGCCACAGTCGCTCTGTCAAGGCTGGATATCCGGGATAGAGTCCTTTATCACCGATTCTCCAAATATACTGGAATTTTTTCCAAAAAAATGGATACCGTGAATGAAAAATGGTGAACGTTTTAAGGAAGCTGGGGATGGATCACTAAAGGCCAGCCTTCAGATACCAGGACTATGCAAAGAATTTTCTGAATAAAAAAGGAGCTAAAAGATACATTTTTGAAATAATTGAATTAGGAATGATAATGAACTGAGCTACTATCTTAACTTCTGGCTGATACATAAAAAACGCTTACTTATTTATGTCGTAGGCAATTAGCGATCGCCGGCACATTGCAATCTGTTAGTGTTGAATCAACAAATTAAAAAATTTTAAAGTGAAAAAACGAGATGGAAGTAGTAATTATTATGCTTTGAATTCAAATATATACGTTATCCCCTTCTTCTTGAATGCATGGCACCAGTTAGCACACTCGTGAGTTCGTGAAATGTAATCAATAATCGTTGGTTTGGTTCAGCAACTAAACTAACTCCTTGGCAAAGCGGAGAGTATCGCTGGATTTGAAGGCGTTCCTAGCTGAGGTCGTGCCATGAATTTCTTCGCTATGGAAACCTTTACTACATTGATGTTCCTGTAATTGCAATTTGACGAATTGACAAGTACAGAGCTTGCAAATTGCCTGCGATTGCTGACTGCCTACGACATATATATGCATAGGGAAACTGATGACACAACTGCTGATTCTTGAGCCAGAGATTGGAGTTCCAAATTGCAAAATGGAGTCTAACTGAGTATCCCCAATACTACCGTGCTAAGGAAGATCGCCGTATGAACATTCGAGAGTTGCCAAATTTCCTTCGATAAAATGTTTATTTTTGAGGAAAATTATGAATATATTTCCTTAAAATTTTCAAACACTTTAGATCGATTTAGTAACAATATTATCTGAGAAATTGGAAGAAAATGTTCAAAAATTGTCCTAGAAATTAGTGATTTGCCAGAGGTACTTTGGGAACGCCTGAATGCTCATACGGCGTTCTTATTTAGCACGGCAGAATAGGCTCTTGGTTCCTTTTTGCAAAATGCAATTAATTTGCTCTTTGGCCTACCTTGTCTTTGAAGATGAAGGTTTCTCGCCTGATGACAGCGACAGCGTCGTAGGAGGTATCGCATGTGTCCGGTTTCTGGGGTTGCGGTGGGAGCGGAACGGGGGGTTGGTAGGCCGGACCGTGGGGGTTGTAGGGTCGCCGATATACGGGTCTGGTCGGGCGCGTCGTCGGCCTTGGTGTAGTTGTCGTTGTTGTGGTGGTGGTCGTCGTCGTGGTTGTCGTGGTGGTGGGGGTGGTGCGGGGCGGGGTGGGGTGCCTCCTGCGGGGGTCCTCCGTGGCCGGTGTGTGGGGATGGGGGTGGTGGCCCCCGGCCCGGTGACCCGGGAACAGACCGTTGCCGTTGTCCACGCTGGGGCGGTACTCCGGGATGTGGGCCCACATCTTGTCATCGCGGGATCCTGAAACAGAGCCACGTCCTGAAAATTTGGCCACAGAATCAAAGGGTGGGATGCTGCTATGCATCAGGGTGGCAAAATTTCATGAGATGTAAAATCTCGATATTTCACGTGAAATATTTCGTAAAATTTCAGAAATGTATGAAAGATATGAAAAAACACCAGTTCCTCTGCATGCTTCGCACGGAGAAAAAAACTTCGTGCGTGGGACCTGAAGTTTAGGTCATATGGATCTCTGAAGTTTCCGGATTGAGCATCCGAACACTTATGGTCCAGCTGCTGAGGTTTGGATCACACATCTGAAATTTCAGTTCTTACATCTGAAGTACTTCGGTTTTCACATCCGAAGAACTTCGGTCATATCTAAAGTACTTCAGATGGGTGATCCGAACCTCGACAGCTAGACCTAAAGTGTTCAGATGCTCAATTTGAAAACTTCAGAGATCCATATGACCTAAACTTCGGGTCTCACGCACGAGGTTTTTTCTCCGTGGCAAAATGTAAGAATTGTGACTTTCATCTAAGTGTGTTTGAGTGCGGATTTTATACTTAAAGGAGGATCCAGCAATTGGGCAATACCAGATTTTCTCCATTTAAACCTATGCTAAACAATCGATTCTTGTTGGAGCATCTGGCTCCTCCAAGAATCGATACATCTCTTCAGGTTTAAATGGTGGAGAGACAATGTTGTCAAATTGCTGGGCCCACCAATGTTTACACTCTTCCCCCTGAAAAATAATGAATAATTCACGGCTTCGTGAAATTTTACTGAAATTTCCAATGTTTCATTTCTTTCTTGTATTTCATGCCACCCTGGCTAAGCTAAGGGAAAGGGTTTAAATGTTGCCAAATTTACTTTGATGAAAAATTATTTTTAAAAAAATATTGCACTCTGAATAAAATGATCCAAATATTTGGATGAAATACATAAAGTTTCCCAGTAAATGCAAGTAGAAGTTGTTTGAGCGAAAAATTTTACTAAGAAGTCCTCTAGTCTTCGTAAAATTATTCGTAATCTTACTCTGTAATATAAACTCATAAACGCCCCCGGGGTGGCGGCAAACCCCTAATCATCTAGACTCGTAGAAATTGTTCAAGAAATTCAGGGTGGACTAAATTTTTCTCAATAAAAAAGGGTCTAATTTGGTCCATGTTAGGTAAGACAGCAGAATGTGACCATCTTCTGCATGCTTGTGTAATGTAAGGCTTGGTAAATTACAAAAAAATGTATGATTATATATGGACCGCGTTGAACAGAAAGGAACCAAGCCACATCAGCTATTGCTAAATGTAATTGGGCAATTTAATTTGTTACGTGAAAACGGTTGTGCGGATTTTCGTGCAAATTTCAGAGAATTTTCTCCATAGTACGAAGCAAATTCCTTAAAATATTCAAAAGAATCCGAACAAACGTTCTCTCGTAAAAAATTAAATTGCCCATTTAAATTTGGCAATAGCTGATGTGGCTTGGTTCCTTTCTGCTAAATGCGATCCATATACAGTAGTTGGAAGGGTTGGAAACGACGCATCCGTCGTTTTGGAGGCGATAGCAAGCGACGCTACTTCCTGATAGCTCTACAAATCTAAAAAACGGGATTTTTGCGTGTCATTCTACCGTCAGGGTGAACTTACCGTAAAGAATTTGTATGGCAAGGCGGTCATCGTTGGGGAGATCGTAATCGCCAGAGATGCCCTTGTAATAGGGAAACATGAGAGCATCGGCCACGGAGGAATGGCTCAGTCCCAACGAATGCCCGAATTCGTGCGCCGCAACTGCGAACAGGCTCATCCCGTTTTCTGAAAATAACAAAACGCCTTCAAATCTTCGCTCACGCCACAATCACTACACGAAAAGTAGAGGTTCAATCCAACGCGTTATTTTATCATAGCTAGAAACGGGAATTATGGGGTGACCAGCAACTATCGACAAGGAAAATCCCTGATACTTCCATTATTTCCACGATTCAAATTGAGAGAATTCCCTTAGCGTCGGCATTTTTCAGAAGAAATAGTCCGCGATACTTCCATTACTTTCGGAATCAAATGTTAAAAAATTCCGGAGTTGTGATTCCGGAATTTACGTATTTATTTCAATAGTTACAATATTTAAAACTAGAATTTTAGTTTATACTCTATTTTATATTAAAAAAAATAAATAATTCAATTATGTTTAGAATTTCTATACTAATGTTAATTTTAAGACCAGGTATAGTCTCCTTAGTAATACGATGAGAAGGGCTAGGAAAATCACCTCTGTTCTTATCAGCAAGGCAATGGGCCTGTTGCAAACTTTTGCTAGAGCAAAAATAAGAGTTGTTTCTTATAGATAATGCCTCAAAAATCACGATGAGCGCATCGGCAAAGTCTAAAATGCACTCATAACTTCACAGTCTGCGTAAGAAATTTGCGGTTTTTTGAGCTTCCCGCTTCAAAAACGATACTACGACACAGGTGAACATTTTGTAAGAGGAGTCGCTCCATCGTCGGCAATAATCATCATGGCCGACGCCAATCCGCCGAAACACGTTTGATGGGACGAGATATAACACCTGAACTGGATTAGACCGGATAACAATCGGTGTGTTAACGTTCATATTTTCCACGCCCGAATTGATTGACCTTGAACTCTCCTCGAATCACGCACGGAACTGCGAGCAAGCGTCGGCCATGATGAATATCGCCGACGATGGAGCGACTCCTCTAACAAAATGTTCACCTGTGCCGTAGTATCGTTTTTGAAGCGGGAAGCTTAAAAAAACGCAAATTTCTTACGCAGATTGTGAAGTTATGAGTGCATTTCAGACTTTGCCGATGCGCTCATCGTGATTTTTGAGGCATTATCTACAAGAAACAACTCTTATTTTTGCTCTAGCAAAAGTTTGCAACAGGCCCATACCTACACTGGAAAAAACCGCATTGGATCTAGAGTCCAGACTCTTGAAAACATTGACAAGAAAAAATACTCTGGATTCAATCGGATTTTTGCTTGAATCAAAACGAAATCCACTTAAATTAAGAGGCTTGGCTCTTGATTTAAGCTAGATTCTGATTGAATCAAGAGCACTTTTTCTTGTCGATGTTTTTAAGAGTCAGGACTCTAAATCCAATGAGTTTTTTTTTCCAGAGAGAATGGCTTATAAGCCGTTCTTAGGCAGGCGGACAGAAATTGCAACTGATTCAAGATTTTAAAGCGAAGTAGTTAGACATTAGATAGAACATGGAGGGCACCGGTGACTTACCTCTTCGGTCATCGGAATCATCGAGGAGCCAATTCTCTTCCTCGTCGAAATGTGCATCCCCTCCTCTGCCGCTACCCGGGAAGAAAGCATGGGCCAAAATACGCCCCGGTCCATCAAAAGGATATCCATCGCCGTGATATCCTCTGAAACCAATAAAACAGACGTCTCTCTGTTATGGAAAATCAAAGAGGATACACTGAAAAAAAAATCTCGGTGTATTTACTAAGAAAAGGGTAAAATTACCAAGAATGCAGGAATCTATTTGATCCCAGTTTTTTCTTGGTAAAATTACCATTTATGGAATTGGTAATTTTACCGAGAAATCTCGGTAAAATTATTATTGAACTTTCTAGGTAATTTTACTGGATCTTGGTAAAAACGCCGATATTTTTTATCGACTGTGGTAGAATTACCGAGATAAAAAGGCAAAGTTACCGGGAATTGATTACCAATAAAAGTGGTATTCTTACCTGAAAAAAACAGTAAAAATACCGGTTTTTAGGTAAGCTTACCAGTCTGTCTTGTGGATGTCTGTGTGAGGTGATTCGATGGACGCCATATTTTTTTTCGAAAGGACATACGATACATCGCCTAGATTGCTTCTATTTCTTCAGCTACTTGTCATTTTTCTCGGAGTTTGAGATCGCAATTCTGTTCTCAGGAAACTAAAGAATTCACTCACCAATTTTGACAAACAAATTCAACATAATATAGGCGTGGTTTTTTTAGAGAGAAAATATCGCATTCGAGTGCGGTTTCGATGTCAGTATCGAATGCAATATTTTTCCTCTAAAAAAACCACGCCTTTCTTACGTTGGATTTGTTCGTCAAAATTTGTAAGTGAATAATTCTTTAGTCTCCTGACAACAGAATTGCGATCTCAAACTTCGAGAAAAATGACAAGTAGTTGAAAAAATGGAACTGATTGATGCGATACATCGCATGTCGTTCTGACGCAAAATATAGCGTCCATCGAATCACCTTATTGCTGAAAACATTGCTAAATCATGAAGAATACTCAGACAAATTTCCATTCCTCTACGAGCATTTTTGTTCTGTGAAATAATAAAGGTCTAAAAGGAAATTCTTAAAAAACGAAACTTAAGAGTGCCTCTCTCGCACCCAAGTCTTCGAGGGACCACTAGACGAGGCACGAAGTTAAGCATTTTGATACATGTTTTTGGACCAAAATTGAACGAAAAACACGATTCAAGCAACGAAAATTACCGAAATTAACTCCTAACTATGATATTTAACGTTTAATCTCGTGGAAATTCAAACCTCCCGCTCAAGAGAGCACAATGGTCTAAGTACGTTAAATCGCAAACTAAACGTTACCGTGTCAGTCTCTCAGTCGTTAGTCAGTCTTTACCGCTTATATTCCGAGAACCAACGTCACAATAATGGACCACTAGACAAGGTACGAATTTCAGCATTCTGATACATGTTTCTCAACCAAAATTTCACGTAGAACACGATACGCACAACGAAAATTACCAAAATCAACTCCTTCTGAAGATATTTAATGATTCTTGATGCGTGAATTCAAACCACCCGCTCATGAAAACTCAATGCTCTACGTGATTCACATCGCGCGCTAAATGTTTATCATGACAGTCTCTGCGATGTAAAAATATTCAACTTCAATCTTGACACTTTGGCTCAGCTATAGCAAATTACCAATAGTTTGAACAACACATGGTGGAAAATGAACATTGCTCGATTGAGAAGCTTGCTGAAACCGTTGTAGTGCGCGATTTGACTCACGTAGAGCTTTGAGTTTCTTGTGAGCGGGCAGTTCAAATTCCTCGTAATCAGTGCGAAATAAAAACGTTAATATCTTCGTTAGAAGTTGATTTCGGTAATTTTCGTAGTGCGAATCGTGTTCTACGTGAAATTCTGGTTAAGAAACATGTATCAGATTGCTTAAATTCGTACCTTGTCTAGTGGTCCATTAAAGTTATCGTGGGCAACTAACAGCGCGCCGCGCCGGCAAGCAGCGCAGCGTTTCCAACGCCTTCGACATCGAAGAGATACTTCACACATTACACCGTTACGTACATTGTTTTGATGTGTCAATTACCATACCTATTCTTTCCTTGCCTTTCTATACAGCGTGTTTGAGGTATATACAAATGACAAACCCACCATCTCGCGGAGGCAGAAACGTCTAATTAACCTGTCTATATGACAGGTGGCAATACTTCGACACGGAAAATTCTCTTCTTAACAATTTTAGTAGATCGTAATTGAGGGGCTTGAAGGACAAGGCGCATAAGTTCAGTTTTTGAAGAAATTGAGGTAATGATGATTTCAAGTAAAACTAATCTTATTGCATATTCTGTGTAAAATTCTCTCCAAAATTCCAATTTTTAAGCATCAAAAAGTCAGTTTGAACTTTCTCTCCGCCAAAAGCCTCCATATAATTTCGAAACTTCAAACACGTATTTCTCGAAATAGCAAAAACTAAACTTATGCGCCTTGTCCTTCAAGCCCTCACATGTACTTGAAGGCGCTACGTCACCTATTAACAGTCAAAGAGAACGGCTCGAAAAGTCGAAAATAAAAAAAAAAATCTTAATCATTCCCGTTTCGAAACATAGTTTATGCGTCTCAAGACTGCCGAGGGGTTGGACAGGTGTTTAGAAGTACCCGCCGAAGGAAGCATAAAGTCAGTGGGTAGTTACTCGTTTTATTATACAGTCTTTTATTTGTTTTTCGAGGGAGAAAAGAGAGACGAAATGAGAAGAATCAAGTCCTCGTTTCCGCTATTATTAACCGCTCGATAAGGGATGAGTTGCGAGTTCCTCGCCGGCTATTTTCAGTCGTGTCGCGAGAGGAGGAAGTGATAGAATCGAAAAGAGGATATGCAGTGTGAACGTTTTGCTAATATACCGGCACCGGCGAGCGTGATAACGTATATCGCTCAAAAGTCAGAGGAGAGTCCCGCTTCCTCTCTGACAGAGGGACCGTGTCATATCGTGCTTTATCGCAATCCCCCTATTTCCGGTGGTCGGTGAGCATCTTTGAAGTAGAATCACTGCCACTGCAATCGAGGTCTGGTCGGATTTGTATGGAGTGTAATTGCTTGAGGGTAGAATAAATTGGACGGAGTTAAACAGAAAGGAACCAAGCCACATCAGGATTGAACCGAGAAAAAGAGGTTTAAAGTTTGGCTCCTGCATAAGACTCAATGTAAAAGATAAACTTCAAGTTCAATTTCTGCAAAATTTGCTCCCACAAAAACTTCGAATTTTTGGCGATAGATAGTAGAGCAGTGATTGAGTTCAAAACCACCCATAACTCAATTTTTTCCAAAATGTGGGTTGGTTCCTTTCTGCTTAACTCAGTCCAATTGTGCCATCCCTAGTGGCAGAACCATAGAAGGAAAAGATAAAGATTATGTGCGAAAGTTAATTTTTTTTAAATGTATAACGCATGCATACGAAAGTGTTAAAAGTGAAAATTTTTATGTAACCATTATGTAAAAAAGTCATAGTTTTCGTGAGCTTTTCGCAAACACACTAAAAAAACTTCTACTTCACGGAAAGCTCACGAATATGATGACCTTTTTTTGTATACAAATAGTTACATAAAAATGTTCACTTTTACCACTTTCGTATGCATCCATTGTATAAAAAAATAAGAAAAATGTCTATAAAAAAAAATTACCTTATCTAGCTGTTATCATTTTCATATATTATGGTCAGGTCTGAACTTTGATTTTTTTATATAAACGTTACATGTTTTTATATAAAACTACCATTTAGATAACAGATATGTTTTTTTAATACTTTTTTTAGAAAAACAAAAATTTGTTCTGCTACCAAGGATCGGATGGGGGCAACAGTAACGCCGTTAATCGTGTTCTATCTGCTGAGCAAACGAAGGGAGAAATGTCTTGATTTTCACATGCCCCTAAGTAGGGTCCTCAAGGATGTACCTTAAAAGTTTTAAAATCCATACGATGAAGTTCCTTTGAATCATTATAATTCATTAATGAGAATTATCTTACTTCTGTCATGCAAAATCAATGAAATCCATTGCAAGGTTTATAATTCAGAGTCACACCATTGAAACTAGTAGTTAGCAACATTTTCGTTCTTATGGTGCTGTTTGCAATAGGTTTCCGCAAGCCCATTTTAACCATTATTTACTCTGTACAGTGCCTTTGCTAAGGATATTAAAGGGCGCCTAAAAACACAATTTCGACACATTGAGCAGCATGAATCACTACTGAGACCCCAATCTGATAATTGAAGTTGTCTTTCAGCGAACAAGTGATGTTTATCACGGCAAGTTGCGTACACTGATAAAAATATTTGTGTTCTTGTGTTTCTTTCGGTTAATATAGGAAGTGAAACACAAACCAGCACAAACTTTGCGTGCATTTTTGCACAGTTTAGGTGAATTTAGCACAGAAAAAAATGGAGAGATTGCACGGAAAAAATTGACACTGCTGATTTCACAAGTTTGTAGTTAAAAAGACTTCGACATCCTTCCAATGTAGTTTTTTTTTTTTACAGTAACAAGAAGCTAATTGAACCAACCCCGTGGTTGAATTACCTTTTCTCTATTGTGAAATGTACATGTCAAGCATCTTTTTTAACAATTTAAGTCCGCGATTCAATTTTTCATTGTGAAAAAATGCATTTCTCCGATTACGATGAAGGTATTCTCCACTCGTTTTTTTATTAAATTTCCTCAATAAAACTAGCTGTCATTTCCCCTTGAAATTTTCAACCGAAGGCTAGGGTTATTTTGTGTTTTATACCTCCCGTATTAACCCAACTTTTGTGTTGAAATTTCTCTTTGCGTATCAGGGTGATATCACGATAACGGGAATAGCTGAAATGTGCAGCACCTTAAAAATAAAACTGCACCAATTTGAACAAGATTTCATTACCATCACAGTACTCAGATTTTTTTTCAAGATATTTGTTTATTAATTTAGAATGATGATATAAAATGTGGAATGCTTACTTTTTGAACTCGATGAGAATATCCGCCCTTTCATCGTTGACCTCTTGGAAGGTCAGTTTGGAATGTTTAGCCCACAGGGCAAGCGCCCTGCTCAGCTCCCGCCGCACTGATCCATTGTGCCCCGTCCGCAAACTGAAAAAATAAAAAAATGAAGTTTTTAAGTATAAGTTATTGAAAAATGAACATTCATTAGTTTAACCATTCGGCACGATTTGTAATTCGATGGTGAGACTCCCATAAACACGTATCTCCGTTTGCGACGTTGCAGATTTCTTGCTATACTTTATTTTTTAAATGGAACACTACTCCACGGCAATTCTTGAGACCTTCCATGATTTTTCTTCAATATGCGAAGAAAAATCTGTGAAAACTTCAAGAAATAATATTGATTTGGTGTCCTTCAAAAAAATTAAATAGGAGCGGAGATTTTTAGACACCACAAACGAGATACGTGATCCGGTAGTTTCACCGTCGCACAGTGGATCGAGTCCATTAGAGAGGTCGAATATGAAATTTTTGGTAAAAACTTCAAATTTCGATGTTTATTTCGTGACATTTTAAATTTAAAGGGGTGCTTATGAAAGAAAATTTCACGAGGAAACCAATGGAACAATTTTTGGAACCTAGCAGTTTTGTACATATATAAACGGAGTTATAAGCGTTTAAAGTTGCCAAATTTATTCCGATCGCTCCTCGATCCACTGTGCGTCGATTTGCTGTTGAATGCAAGAGAGAAGTAACTTCATTATGCTCGTCACCCTCGTCGAGATTCGCGATGTTCTTCAAAATTATTGAAAGTTGATTTTGGATAAAATCAGTGCAATAATCGTGTTTGTTTTGTCAGTTGCGCTCGTCACATAATTGTATTTTGATGTTTGATTTTTGTAGAACAACTAAAAATAATAAGATCCGTTCCAACAGCAACTTTCTATACTTTTCATATTAACTAAGATATTGCACTTTGAAAACTTCGGTTTATGACGACATCCGCCATGGTAGTGACACCCTCGGTTTCACCCGCCTTACTTTCATTTGTCAGTAAGAGACACATATTCACTGGTTACTCAACGTGAAATTCGGATGAAAGTAAGGTGGAAGAAACCAAAGGTGTCACTACCATGGCGGATGTCGTCATAAACCGAATTTTTCAAAGCGCCTATATCTCGGTTAATATTGAATGTAGAAAGTTTTTGTTAGGACGGATCTGATTATTTCTAGCTGGTCTTCAATAATCAAACATCAAAACACGATTCTATGACCAGCGCAAATGGCCAATTCTCAACTCGTGTTACGACTAGACTTGTACGAAACGCATCAATTTTGTGAGTAATTCCCAGGGTGGCATAAAATTTCATGAAAAATAAAATCTTGAAATTTCATGTGAAATATTTCATAAATTTATTTCAGAAAAAATTCAATAAATTAAAAAATTTATTAGTTTAATTTATTTATTTATTTTTTATTTAGATTATAAATTTTTTTCAATAAATTTCAGAAATTTCTGAAATATATAGAAAAATATTGGTTTCTTTCCATGTTTGGCAAAATAACAAAACTGTGACTTTCTTCTATTTGTGTGTGTTTCAGTGCGGGTTGCATACTTTAGCCCCTGAAAAATATTTCACAGCCTCGTGAAATTTCATGAAATATTTCACCGAAATTTCCCATCTTTCATTCCCTCCTTACGTTTCATGCCACCCTGGTAATTTCTTGGAGAGAGCTGGAAAAAGAGATAGAAAAAGAGATGGAAAGAGAGAAAATACAACCTTTCACCAGTGAGCTGCGTTGGATTGGGGCGCTACAAAGGCCGATGACAAGGAGACGAAGAGAAAATGAAGTAAGGAAATCGCTCACTCAAGGAGGTTGTGATGGATCGTAGGTAAACACATCACACCCAGATTGAGTGAGTAACCGTCCCGTCTTCCGTTGCTTTACCTACGCACGTTACGTCGCTTACGTCGCTTACGTCACGCTGTCCGATCCGATCGAACATGCTTCCAATCCGCCGATCATATTACCATGTCGATCAAATTCGTCGAAACCAAACCGCCGGTTGCCGCGATCGGGAAAAATTTCATCCTCACTCACTCGAATTCGGGTCGAACACGTCGTTTTTTATTGCTTTTTGGAATCTCAGGTGCAAAAATGCGCTTTTTATAGATTGTTCTCGGACAAGCAATAATGCTTATTTCACGTGAATAGTTGATGAAACGGGGAAAAAAGTAATCTTAGAAGAAAAGTCCGCTTAAGTAATGCGTAAGCCACTTAGAGAGAGAAGGGATCTGAGATTGGAGAGGGAAAGGATCTGAGATTGGCTTCCGGGGAGGCAGAGGGACAAGTCCAGGCTTACGGAAGCCTCTCACTTTTAAAACAAATGAAAAATAAATAAATAAATAAAAAAAATAATTTTTCCATCAATTTTTCAGGTTCACTAAGTTATTTTCCCTTCATGAATGGGGGAAGGGGGTTAACCCCGCTAACCCCCTCCCCCTGGTGACGCAACCCTAAACCCCCTTCCTTTTGAACGATGTAACGCTGGCCTGCCCCCCTCAATTTTTTAAAAAAAAAAAAATCAAGTAAATTTTGAGAAAACATGTCGAAAGAAATTCGGGTTTTTTTGGAGCTGAAATACGACAGGAAGAGATCAACAAAGGTGTGAAAAAATTCATTCGGGAAGGGCGGGATTTTCAATTTTTTGCACGGTTTTTTCAAAGTTGTTTTCTTTCCCCTGCCTCGGATTTGTTACGTAACGCTGAGCTTGACCCCCTCCCCTTTATTGTAACGTTGGCTACAACTCCCCCTCCGACCTAAGTGCGTCACGTAATACCCCCCTAAGTGCGTTTCGTAATACTTGAACGGCGCCTAACGATAACCTAACCCCTAAGTGATATCCGTTCATCGAGTAAGAGATGAACGAACTATCCGGCGATTTGACAGCGGTGATTCTGCGTTGCAGCATAAAGTATTGGATTTCTGTTTGACATCTCAGCCGTGCGGCTGTGCCCATTACTTATGTTGATTCTGGGTCAATAATCAAGGCCGTTAATATTTGATCTGAGGGGAGGATTTGGTCGTTGCTCATCTACTCTGCCGTGCCAAGGAAAAACGCCGTATGAACATTCGAGAGTTGCCAAATTTCCCCGAATAGAAAATGAATTTTTGTGGAGAATTATGCATATTTTTCTTTGAAATTTTCAGATTTTTTTAGATCAAATTGCGAACAAAATCGTCTGAAAAATTTGAAGAAAAATATTCACATTTGTCCCAGTTAATTCGTTGTACATTGAAGGAAATATGACAACGCCTGAAGGTTCATACGGCGTTCTTCCTTAACACGGTAGTACTGCATAGGGGTTATTCTGAATGAGAAGCTTAACTCTTTGGTGTAATATCTCAATTTGAGCCTGAGGGATGCCAATTTGATTACTAAATTTTAATTCGTGCCCTGTTACATGCTAGCAAAAATATGGTCTTTTTCCGGCTTTTTGTCTGATGCTTCATGCAGATAGTCATTTATTACATCCCATATCGAGATTTTTTTGAGTAACGCGCTAATTTTTGACAAAAAGATTCTCTGAATATGTAGGTATAGGAATATTCGGAATATTCTTGAGCCATTTTTGAATCATTCCAAAAATTACTTGCGATTTACAAAAATATATCTCAAGATTGTTATGCAACATGTAATAAAGTACATAAAATGAGACACCAGGTGGATGTTAAATGGTAAAACCTAAAAAAAACCGTGTTTTATCAATTTTACCATTCAAGTTCCACCAGGTATCTTATTATAAGTACTTAATTATACGTTGAATAACGATCTTGATAAATATTTTTGTAAATCACAAGAAATTTTTGGAATAATTCCATAATAATTTCCAATGAAAAAAACCGTGTTTTATCATTTTTACTTTGCAGACAATCAAAAATTGAGCACTCGCAAGCCAAAAGACTCAAGACATTTGATCTTTAAAATTTGAGCATATTTTTAGACTAGAGCCTTTATATTGTACTTTGAAGCAAAACATTAAATAGGCAAAGTTTGTTCCACATTGAACTTCATTAGTGCAAAATCAGTCACGCAACTGACAACTAATTGGGGAACATTTCACGTAAAAACTTCACGAAGGGATGAAGGCGCGGGGGAGAGGGGAGTCAGTGGCGTGGCGTGCTTTGCGATATATCGATTGATCTGCCATTCAGACCTATGGAAAAGGATCGATAAACAGGGTGTTCGCAACGAACACCTTATTAATCGATTCTTAACCATGCACAGCTTTAAATAAGGAAATATCGATGATCGAACATTCACGCCACACCACCGGAGGGGAGAGGGAGGTGATACAACGATGAGACGCAAATGAGGGATGAATTAGAAAGGTATCAAAGATACACGCATATTCAATGGGAGAGTTGAATAGCTGACAATTTGAGGAAGGGTAAAGGAGACTACAAACGAGAGAAAAATGATTACCTCAGCTTTAAAAAAAAAAAAATTCAATTTACGATTTTAAACAGAGGCGGTGAGGAGGTAGGAGGGATGCGAAAGAACGTACTCAAAACCGCTGGTGGTGCGAGAGTAGGGGCGCTAAGGGTAGCGAGGCGAAACTGTGCCACATACATGTCTAATTTCCACCCCCTGGGACGCAACCCCGCGGGAGCTTTCGTTCTGCTCCCCGCAAACTTGGCAATTTCACTGCGCCGTTGTAAAGAGAGAGAAAAAAGTGATGATGACTCGAAAAGATAAGCATTTCCCATGATTCGGGGGAGGGGGTGGATTCGGGGATGCAAAACCCNGGGGGGGGGGGGGTTCGAGGACCTTCTCGGTGCACTGCCTCAAGTCTTTCGCCTCGACTTTGAAGAGGCTTCGACGGAGTGCTGAGGAGACGGGACCTACCGGCGCACGGTGGATCGAGCCAATCAGAGAGGTCGAACATGAAATTTTTGACTTAAACTGCTAATTTCGATGTATAATTCGTCGTATTTTAAATTTTAAGGGGCGTTTCTATCACACAATTTAACGAGGGAACCAATGGAGCCACTTTAAAGACCTCAAAGTTTTGTATGAACGAAGTTGTAAGCTTTAAAGTTTCTAAATTTGGTCCGACCTCTCCTATTGACTCGGTCCACTG